GAGAGAGAGAGAGAGAGAGAGAGAGAGAGAGAGAGAGAGAGAGAGAGAGAGAGAGAGAGAGAGAGAGAGTACCTCTGACTTCAGGGTTTCTAGATCTTTGGATTGCTGAAGTAAATTATCATTTTTAGATCATCATTTTTTGGTCCAGTGATTTTTACTATTATTTTTATTTTTTCACTCCAACCATCTAGTTCTTTTTTTTTTTTTTTTTTTTTTAAGGCTGATGGCCTTGAGGTATTATTACCGGGCTAACCAGGGAATCCCAGGATTTCCAAAAAAAATGAATTTTAATTGTTTGAATTTCGGAATTTCGGAATTTTCCAATTTGTCAATTTCTGAATTTCTAATGTTTTGACTCTTGAGTTCTTACTGACTTCTTAGCCCGCGGCTACTCAGCACAAGAGATCACTTTCGTGATTCCATCTCCCTGCATTCTTTTTTCAAGTTTTCGTTTTCGCAGAGTAATGAACTGATTGGCTGGGACATAGCACCTCCGGACTTGTCGCCCACGTGCAAAAGTACTTAAAACTTAAAAGTTAAAAGTTAAAAGTTAAAAGTGCCTGTACCCTGCACCCTAAATTTTGATGAACCTGGGGAGGGGAGGGCAGCAGGCACACCGGGGATGAATTATTTGCACCTGGAACAAAGTGGACAGGTCCCCTCAGTTTTAGACGACTGGAAGTTTTGGAGGAGAGGACTCGTATTGGTCGTTTGAACCAGCAGTTGTCCGACAAAACTTCGAAAAAGCGGTTGCCCGAATTCTCCCCCCCTCTATGCCTTCCCACCATACTTGCAAGCAGACGGACCGGACCGGACCGGAGCTCCGCTTTGCCGCGTGCGGCACCCTCCCCCCAGACCGGACCGGAGTTCCTTCAACATGGTTATCTCAAGCGCCTTAGTATACTCTACTAGTTCACCTGTACGGGGGCGTTTTTTTTTGGGGGGGGAGGGGAGGGGCATAACTGGTCGTCGGGCGCACATTCGTGCGCCGCGCGGGTCCGGTCCGGCGGTCTGCTGCACGTGTGGAACCGCCCGGACGGCGTCCGCTTGCAAGTATGCTTCCCACCATTTTCCCCCCGGCAACCCTTCTTACCCCAGCAACCTTTCTAATTGTGTGCTGCAAGGGGTTTCGGATTTCTTGGGGCCCGACAAAAATCAGTGTTGGGAAAACAACTTAAACAAGGGTAGGAACAAGTGGTGGTTTCAGCTCAACCTTAACAAGAACCCGAGACACTCGTCCTTGCTGGCATTTCATCCTCCACACGGTGTGCCTGCTGCCCTCCCCTCCCCAAGTGCATCCATTACTCTACCACCCCCGTTCTCCCTCTGTTACCCAGCAAATTGTGTGCTGCAAGAGGTTTCGGATTTCTTGGGGCCCGACAAAAATCAGCGTTGGGAAAACAAGGCTGGGAACAACTGGTGGTTTCAGCTCAACCTTTTTCACAAGAACCCAAACACTCATCTTTGCAGACATTTCATCCTCCACCCTGTATGCCCCCTTCCCCCCCCCCACCCCCAATTAATCTACCATACCTCTGTTGGCTTCCCGCGTTGGTACTTTGCTCTTACTTCCGCAGCGGACAGTAACTTTCCTGTGTGGGCCCCGCTCGTGTGGGTCCCGCTCGTGTTCTGTGGTGCCTTCCCACTCCAGCTCTGACTGAAAGAGAAGTCATCTCCAATATCTATGTCATCGATATCGAGGGTCGTACCTGATCCAAGACTTCCGGTGCGACGATGTTGTTGCAAGCCGCCGAGCGACAGTCTCAATGCAGGAGCTATGAAGGGGCGGGAATTGAACATCGTCGTCAGCTCTGCTGCTCTCACGTCGCCGCTCTGCAGTGCACCTGCTGGCAGCGAACTTTTCCGCTCCAAGGTCGGTGTCTTGCTAAATAATCCCTGTAAGCCCACCAGTACACGCCCAACAAAACAAAAATCAAATTAACAACATCGGGATTACAAGGGTGTTTGTCCTGATTGCAAGAGAAAGACGACACAGGGCATGAAATCGGGATTACAAGGGTGTCTGTCTTGATCGCAAGAGAAAGACGACGCAGAGCATGAAATGGAACGGTGACCACAAGGGCTCGTCTATGAGGGAGAGCAAAAGAACAAACACGCCACAAACTGCGCTTGTGAGCAGGAGGAGGGTGAACCTGCACAGACAATCTGCTCAGGCGCTGCTGACATGGTTAAAAATGAGGCATTTCTTTTCCTCCTTTGGGCTCTTGCCGCGAACCATTTTGGTCCCGACATGGTTAAAAATGAGGCGTTTCTTTTTCAGGGCCGAGAGTCGAACATCGTCGTCAGCTCTGCCGCTCTCATGTCGCCGCTCTGCAGTGCACCTGCTTGCAGCAAACTTTTCCGCCCCAAGGTCGGTGTCTTGCTAAGTAATCCCTGTAATCCCACCAGTACGCGCCCAACACCAATCACATTAACAACATCGCAGGCATGAAATCCGGATTACAAGGGTGTCTGTCTTGAGCGCAAGAGAAAGACTTGACACAGGGCATGATATGGAACCGTGACCACGAGGGCTCGTCTTTGAGGGCGATAAAAAGAACAAACATGCCACAAGCTGCGCTTGTGAGCAGGAGGGTGGTGAACCTGCACAGACAATCTGCCAGGCGCTGACATGGTTAATAATACACTAAGGGTTATGGGCTGAGCCTATCGCCTCAGGGTTCACCCTAAGGGTTTGCGGTGTGGCCGTAGCCTGGTATTACCCCTTAGTGTACTGCGTTGTGTCCTCTGATTGAGTAGATTTGCGGTGTGGTCATAGCCTGGTATTGCCCTGGGATAGGGTAGACCCTTGCTTGTCGACTTTGTCTCCATACTAAATACGGGAGTAGATAACGCAGGGTAGGGAGGTAGGTAGGTCGCTAGTGCGAGGTCGACAAAACATTGAGAGAAGAAAAAAGGGGAGGAAATACAGCTGTCTCCCATATAAGAGGAGAAGACAGCTGAACCCTCAACAAAATAAAAGACGAAAAAATTGCAGAATCACGAAATCAGCGGCTAGATCAAGTCCTCGTAGAAAAAGGACTCGATCTGTCCGCTGGTTTTGCGATCCTGCATGTACAAGTGCCTAATGTGCATATACGCTTAGTGATGTTCATGCCCAGGGGGAGAGTGTAGTAGTCCTAAAAGGGGGGAAGACAGAAGGGGGGGGAGGGGAGGGAAGGAGGGGAAAGTGTAGCGGGAGAGTGGACGTAAGAGAGGATCAGTGGAACAAGGAACCACGTTGGTCCTCGGTACTCAGAGGCAGAGTAGATTGCCAGAGCCTGGCACAAGAGGCCATTCGATGACCGGGGCGAGAACAAAATAAGGCTGAGGAGCAAGCACACCTATGGTAGCCGTCTCCCCCTGCAGACCGGACAGGACCAGTTCAGCGGAAGCACTGCATTTACTTCTCACAAGTTGAAATGACACTGTCGAATGGCACATCGCCGACAGATGTCACAGGCAACGTCACACCCTCATGCTAGCAACACAGAGGCACGGCGGCCTTCCACCCCCTGTCTACAAATAGGACATGCGATGTGAGGGTGCGGTGCACGAGAATGTTGTCGACTGTCATCATAGGTACAGGAGCCAAAACTGGCACGATCTATACGTTCCCAAAGCTCGTGACACCGAGCGCCGATCGCATGCTGGCCGAACATCACACTACAGCATGGACCAGGTTCCTTCAGATTCCGCAGCCGAAATTGCCTTTCTGTGGACATGTGATGACGGGGCCAGATCCAAAGTATGTTTAGCTGTTCCAAAGTGTCGGGTCTGCCACCACTCACGCTGGAGGCGATCACCTTTCACCGTGGCCCACTACAGATGCCTCCTACATCAGACCGCTGTGTCTGTTCCTCCTGCAATGAGGGGATGCCCAGTGTTGCACGCGAGGATATGAATGGGGAGGGATGTAGCAGATGATGGCATCCGGAATTAGGACACACAGTGAATACCCATACTCTCTCCATGACAGCAGCTTGCAGGAAAAATTGACAACAATGGCATGTTGCTGGCATGCCAGCCAGAAAGCAGGCCCATGCTTGCGGATATTCAAGCATGGCATGTCAAGGCCACTCGTACACCTCATTTTGTATGCAAGAACCAAAATCTCTCTCTCTCTCTCTCTCTCTCTCTCTCTCTCTCTCTCTCTCTCTCTCTCTCTCTCTCTC